GAGTTGAAAAGAAAGGCAGCAGAGAGCAGAGGGAGAGCATGGGGAGAAGCAGTTATTCGTCTGTGGTATTGATCCCTGACAGCCATTGGCCACCGTCTAGACAGCAGTGCCCTGTCCAGCAGGGTGGAGCAGATGGAACTGAAGAGGCCTTTAGCTTTGGTTCTTGGCAGGAGAGAACCCTCCTGATACAGACCCTTTAAGATGCTGGGACAGTGGCTGACAAACCTGAGCCATGTCACTGTCCCCGGAAGGCCTATGAAAGTGACTAGAGGATCCACCAGGTTCTGATGCAGCAGGTTGGCGCCCACCTGGGAATGTGCATTTTTCATTGATACTGATGTCATGGGGCTGCACTCTGAGAACCCCTGCTGGAGCCTGGTGCAGGGGTCCCCTCTGCTACTGACAGGTGGGCACATCCTGGGCACCCTCAGCCTCCCCGGGCACCCACCTGCCCCTCCTTAAGTGCATGTTTGGGGTGTTGAATGCTTTGCTCGCATCCAGCCCTGGCTTTTAACCATGACCCAGGAGGCAGTGAGCCTGCCCTCGTGGAGCTTCAATTATTGGCCAGCTCAGAGCATCACAAAGTTCTCCCCTGTGTTAGAAATAGAGTGGGCTTCGTTTGAAATCCTTCAGAATCTAGGACAGGAAGTCATTTTCCACATAACTTTTTATAAACAGTGAGGTGGTCCCATCAGTTACAGGGACCACTCCGTCATAACTGCCTGTGGGATTACAGTGGGAGCCAGCGTCTTTGCACAGGCTCAAGAGAGGGCTATGCGTAGCAGTGCTCTGCAAAGGCGTGATTCTTCCGTAGGACAAACTGTTACTGTCAAGTCAACCCCTATTCCTAGAAACTCTCCTCTTCTGTTTATAACAAGGCTTTGACTGATGACAACTTCAATTGCATGTTTAGACTTGCCTTGCAACCTGTCATTGTCACTTATTTCTCCCCTAAAACATTCAGGTTGATGGCTTTACACACCTCTACACTCTAATCTTAAGACCAGATCTCACTTATGAAGTGAAAATCGATGGCCAAGCGATTGAATCTGGCAGCATTGAGTATGACTGGAACCTGACATCACTGAAGAAGATGGAGAAGTCTTTGGCAGAGTCCAAGGACTGGGAGCAGGACGAAGAAGACAAACCTCAGGTATGCATTTCCCCCAAACAACTCTAGAAAGCGTACGAGTGAACTTTGTAACTACCAGGTCCTGTACGATTGCTGAGTGGCTGGTAATCGTGATAGCATAGAAATCAAAATGCTCTTCCCAGAGCATATGTGCTGAAATCAGCCACAGATCTGCACGTTTCAAAGGTATTGTGAAAGAGTTTTATAATATTTGAGATCAAAGCAAGTAGAGTTTGTTCTTTTTAACCAATGTTAAGGCACCAACAACCTTTTTTTAAGTGATTTTTTTGTTGTTGTTATTCTGCATTTGAACATGAAGTATTTTTTTGGCCTCACACTTGTGACTATTGACCATAACATAACAGCTATGTAAGAGTTTCCCAGGGCTGCTGTAACGAAGCACCACAAAGTGGGGGGCTTAAAGGGTGAAAATGTATTCTCTTTTAGTTCTTGAATCCAGAAGTTAGAAATCAACATGTCAGCGGGCTCACACTCCCTCTGAAGGCTCTCGGGGCATCCTTCCTTGCTTCCTCCAGCGTCTGTTGCTTCTGGCCATTCCTTTGCTGGTAGACACATCACTCCAATCTCTGCCTCCATCTCCACATGGCCTTGTCCTCTCCTTATGTCTCTTCTATCTCTTATTAAGACATTTGTTATTGGATTTAGGACCCGCCTGAATAATCCGAATAACCTCCTCGAGCTCCTTATCTTAATTACACCTGCAAAGACCCCTTTTTTTTCAAATAAGCTCGCATTCCCAGATTCCCAGATTTAGGATGTGGATAAATCTTTTTGGGAACTATCCACTTACAGCTACTTTTTTTTTTCTTTCAGTTTATGTTTGTTTATTGTTGGAACATTTTGTTTCGAACATCAAACACTGCACCAAAATATGAGGCATTTTTCTGTAGACAGTTGTCTTTGCCATAATTAAGAGTACCAGGCTGATGTTTACAACTAACTACTTAGTGGCATTGCTATCTAACAGTCAAATACTTTATCATGGAAAGAATGTAATTATTAAATCAAAATGGCATCTCTTTTCGACTATTACATTTTTTGGCAATTCTTTTCTTTTTCTTAGATAATCCAAAGTTCCAGGAATTTGGAATCCATGGTGTCCAATCAATGAAAATGCCTTCAGATTAGGGTAAAACCCCAATCGTAGAAGGTTTTTCCATCATTTCTCAAGGAAAAAAAAGGCAAAGTTTCCCCCTCCCTTTCTTACCTTTAAAACAAACTGAAAAAGGAGTTTTCACCTAGAAAGAGCACTAATTTAAAGCCCAGAATGACAGAGAAACTGACCCTGCAGCCCTCCTCCTGCCCCCGTCTCTACCCCCTCACCTCCAGCTGCACATTTGGAGACATAGGTCTTGGCACTGAAATCCTGGCCCCTCTGGGCTGCAAGGACGAGACCCAGCAGTGTGGGTAGAGACAGATCCCCAGAGGGGCCGAATCGTCCTTTCAGAAGCTCCTTTCCACACTGGCTGTTTTGTCCCCATAGTCAGTTCCATGTGAGCTCCTAAACAAATTAATTCATTGTGGCCTTGTGATCTGATCATCCATGATTCTAAGGAGCCTGCTACTCAGATTGAACTGTAATCATTTTTCTGGATCCCAACACTATAGGGGCTCACGGTTGGCCAGGTGGGGTGGGGGCAAAAAGCAGTAGGAGAGCCAACTACCTGCTATGTATCGATTGCTGAGAAGTTACAGAGTATCATGGGAAAGCTGCCCTCTAAGTGAAAAATTTTTACAATTTCTCAGTTCTAGAAGAGGAAATACCATTGCACGTGACTTTTATGCTTTTATATGTGTTTATATGGACATTAATCCACAGCAACTTTTTCTCCATTCACTTATTAAATAATAACTAAACCATATACACACATCTATATAGATATGTGTACATGTGTATGTATATATGTGTGTATTAATGTGTATATACATATACTTTTATGTATTATATATAGATGTGTATATGAATGTATGTGTATATTCATGTGTATAAAGGTACATATGTGTGTGTATAAATGTGTGTATATGTACATGTATGTATGTATTGTGTGTACATATGCGTTTGTGTGTACATGTGTATATACGTTTGTATTGTGCAAGTGTTCTATATATCTATAAGAGGACTCAATAATAATTGCATTTCTCTTGCTACTCAGCAGTCCCCAGGTAAAACTTGGGACGTTTTCAGTTTTCCAGCCTCTCTCTGGAACAGTCCGTGTGTGACTGTGATGTAGAACAGACTTAACCATCAGTCAGTGTGCGGGCCTGCCTCCCCCTATCACTTTTTTGCCCATCATTTTACCTTTAACCATTATTTCAAGTTTTCTACCCTGCTGTTCCTCTCAACTGCATGGGGAAATGCTGCAGTCACTTTGGGGATTAGGGAGAAAAATCCCAGCAGTGCGTAGCCCTGAGGCCCCTGGCGGGATGAGGGGCCCAGGCACTTGGCTCTTCGACCACCAAATTGAGGAGGTGATGGAGAAATAGGGACCTGGGTCACAAGCCTGCCTCTGCCTCCCAGTAGCTAAGAATTTCCTTTCTCAAATCTGAGAATCTGGTTTTTTTCTTGCATGTATTTTAAGGACTGGGAGAAGCATTTTCTGGATGCCAGTGCCAACAAACCAAGCGACTGGAACAGTGAACTGGATGGGGACTGGCAGGCACCAATGCTGCAGAAGCCTCCATACCAGGTGCGCGGGTGGCATCCTCTTCCTGTGACTCCCTCAGGCTGCCCCCTCTTCTGCCCGTATCACTCAGGATGACCACATAACGGTTTGTTGTTGCAGGATGGCCTGAAACCAGAGGGTATCGATAAAGACGTTTGGCTCCATCAAAAGATGAAAAACACCAACTATTTGACGGAATACGACCTCTCGGAATTTGAGAACATTGGTGCCATCGGGCTGGAGCTTTGGCAGGTCATTGGGTTTTTTATTTTCTTTAGTTTGATAACACTGAACTTCAGCCTAAACTTCTTAATTCACATAGCCGTTGTTCCTTGAGGTCCTGCTGTGTGCCTGGCATTTATACCTGGACCCGAGACATTTAGTCGTGGCCAAAACAGATGACCTTCCAGCCTTCTGGGCACTCCCTGTCTGCCTCCCTGCCCCCTGGGAATTGGTCACCGGTGGGTCCATCAGCTTTACGACTGGATTGCAGAACCTGATGCAGTGGGTCTGGGGTGTAGCTTGAGAGTCTGCACTCCCACCAAGCTCCCAGGTGGTGCTGATGCTGCCAGTCCACGGCCCACATGTTGGACAGTGAGGCAGCATCCAGATCAGTTACATTGGCATCCCCAGGGCAGAGACCAGGCATCAGGAGTTTCTAAAATGTTCCTGGTGATCTTAGTAGGCAGTCAGGTTTGAGAACCTGTGCCCTGGAGGGGATGGACATTTCAGAAATGGGTTTAAGCATGTGCTGCCTTGGAGAGCTAATCATTGTCTCAGTACTGAGCAAAATACAACTGTTTCTTGGTAGAAAGTTGTTATATGTCTCCCATCAACAAGGAAGGCCTTATTTTTATCTGTAGGTGAGATCTGGAACCATTTTCGATAACTTCCTCATCACAGACAGTGAAGAGTATGCTGAGAATTTTGGCAAGGCCACTTGGGGTGAAACCAAGGTATGATGAATGCAGTTAACTTTTCTTTCATTATTTATTTCTGTACTTGAATCTAACATATAGGAAGGGGCTTGATGAAGTTTTATTGATGAACACCTCACCCAGATCAAGACACAGAATGCTACCAGAGCTCCGGGAGCCTCCTCACATCCCCTCCTAGCCAACACTGGCTCACAAAGGAACTGCGATTCCATCACCATAGATCAATTTGACTTTCTTTTGAAATTCATATAAATGGAGCCATCCAATATTTACTCGTCCAGGCAGGGTTGTGAGATACATTCATATTATCACATGCAGCAGTAGCTCATTCTTCCTGTAAGAATATTCCAGAAGGTATGTGTCCATTCTCTGTCCGTGCTGCTTTGGGTGGCTTCCAGCTTGTGGCCTCATTCATAAAGCTGTTACAGTCATTCCTGTACATGTCTTTCAGTGGACATAAGCCCAGGAGTGGACAGGTTGGGTCACAAGTTCCCTTACAGCCAAATAGTTTCCAGTGTGTTGTCCTATTTTATATTCCCTGGATTTTCTCCTTTCATGGCCCATTCACTGGTCAGCTGGTTGAAGGACAGGGCCCTAGTGCTCTGGGAACAGAAGGAAGAGGACGTATTCATATCCTGGGGGCTGCTGGAACAAATCACCACAAACTAGCTGGCTTAACACAACGCAGACTTCTTCTCTCACAGTTCTGGAGGCCAGAAGTCCAAAATCAGTATTAGTGGGCTGAAATCAAGGTGTTGGCAGGGCTGTGCTCCCTCTAAAGGCTCTAGGGGAGGATTCTTCTCTTGCCTCTTCCAGCTTTTGGGGGCGTCAGGTGTTCCTTGGTTTATGGGTACATCACTCTAATCTCTGCCTTCATCTTCATGTGACTTTCTCCTCCTTTCTATGTGTTTCATATTTCTCTACTTCTCTCTTATGAGAACACTTATGATGGAATTAAGGATCCATCTGATAATCCAGGATAATCTCGCCATCACAACACACTTAATCCTATTTGCAAAGACCCTTCCTCCATATAAAGTCACACTGACAGGTTCCAGGGATTAGGGCCTGAGAGCCTTGGGGGCTCTTCTTCAGCTGCCCCTAGCTGAAGTGGAGGCTTCCAGAAGGCAGGGGCAGGTCGCATGCTAACACCTGGTCGGCCCCCAGAAAGTATAATCCCCAGCCACCCAAGTCTTCATTTCTTTCCGCAGGGCCCAGAAAGGGAGATGGATGACATCCAGGCCAAGGAAGAAGTGAAGAAGGCCCACGAGGAAGATGAGAAGGAGCTGTTGATGGGTAATTTTGACGGGAAGGAAAGTAACTTCAAGAGATTTCACAGGAGGAATGAACTTTAGTCACTCTTACCCCAGAACAAGATGACTGATAAAACCTTGTTTCTACTTCGATCTACATTTAAAAGCTCAAATGTCAACATATGTGATAATTTGTCCAATTTTCTTTGAAAAATGTTCCAATGCTTCTTGGTGGTTTCCCTAAGCCCCTGCCCCTTTCCACAAGCCGTTTCCTCTGGATAAACCTGAGTGCTGGAAGCCAGAGGCCAGTAAGAGACTGGCCAAAAACCTGATACTCTTTTTTTTAACCCCAGAACGTTTTATAAGTCAAATTTGGTAAAACTTATTTTGAGAAAGAGGAAATGATGCCATATTTCTTTGGTTTGTAAGTTACTAAGAACATATGAGAAAATTTTCCAATATGAAATCTTTACATAATATCCTTGGCGTGAAAGGGTTTCACATACTCCGCTGGTATGCTAATTGTTTTAGAGGACCCGGGCCTCGTGCACAGACAATTGAGATGCCATAAAGAAGCTGATGATCCACTCCTGTGGCCATTAGTTCTCTGTAAGACAGAGGAATGAAATTCATTCTCTCAAGTGGAAATAGTGATTATTTCTCAGTTTCATATTTTTCTTTCAAATAAAATAACTTGCTTTTTTTTTTTTTAAAGTCACACATAGCAGTTTCTGTTTTGAAGAGACTTGTTTTCATGTAGAAACTTGTGTTGGTAATCAAATTTAGGACACTGGGAATTTTGAATTTAGTAATGTTACAAATAAGCCAAATAAATTGAAAATTATATATGGCCTATTGATAGATGTTCAGTGTGAAAAGTCTGTCCAGGAAGTGAAATTCTGTCAAGTTTTGTTCTCTCTTTGGCCAAAGTTGGCAGACCTTTAAACATGACTGTTTTGGCTGATGGCTGCATTGGTCTTCACGGTTCATCAGGGGTCGATTATCAGCCTCAGAAACTAAAGACTCACTTGCCATGCAGGGGATTCAAACATTGTCCACCTCTTTCACCTCTGGGCAGGATGAGAAGTTAGTGAGGGGAGAAGAGCGAGGCCTATTGAGAAAATGCTGGAAACGATTGTGTGAAGATGGGTCAGACTAGCTCAGACCCTTGGAGCTCATCTTCTGGGGCAGCACCTTCACAGCCTTCGAGTTTGCCTGCCTGGAGAACTTTCCATGAAGATGGAGATTGTCCCCACCTGTTGTAGCCATTGAACGGTAACCATTGGCTGCATGTGAGCCCTTGAGATATGGCTGGTGGGACTGAAGAATGAACTTTTAAAAAATTAACAAATTTTTTTTAGGGAAGTTTTAGGTTCACAGCAAAACTGAGCAGAAAGTAGAGAGAGTTGCCATATATTGCCTGTCCCCACACCCACACAACCTCCCCTACCAACGACATCCCCTACCACAGTGGTACACTTGTCATAATTGAGGAACCTACACTGACACGTCATTATCACCTGGAGTCTGTAGTTTGCATTGGGTTTCACTTCTGGTGTACATTCTATGAAGGAATGAATTTTTAATCTTATTTCATTGTAATTAATTTAAACGAACATAGCTACATGTGGCAAATTTACGCCATGTTGGGCAGCGCAGCCCTGAACTCTGGTGAGAGAGGCCCCAGGGCGGTTGATCACTGCCAAGCATGGGGCCACAGCAGTAGAGGAATCCCAGGCCACTCAGGCTAGCCATGTGTGACTTGGACCGCCAAGCCTGTTCCCAGATAAGAAGATGCAGGAGAGTCTGTTGTCATCTCCTCTAAAGATTCTGACACCCAGGCTGGAAGCCTGCACTCATTTCCCAGACACCCTTGCCCACCAGTTTTCCTGTCAGAGGAAGTTGGATGGCAGGTGGAGAGAAGCCATTTTCTTCAGGCTTCTGCCAACGCCTTAGTGGTGACAATAGCAGTGACTTGAGCAACAATGGCAGAAACAGCAGTAGCTGGCGAGGACCCAGTGATTATTGGTTTTGGGTAACACCTTTTTCCCTTTTGACTTTCAGCCCTAAAGGGGCTAGCAGCTTCCTGTGGTTACTAATCTTAGGTAACATCACACGCCCCTTCCGTTTTTTCCAATACTTTTGCACTCAATCTTTTATATCAGATGTTCTCTGTTTAAAGTATCTAGAATGACTTCTCTTTTCCTCACAGAATACAGACTGATAAAGTGCTCAAGGCAGCTAAAAGCCTCCCATCAGCCCCACCTCGACCACTGCTACATCTTTCCAGATGGCCCACTTGCTTCCATTTATCCTCTCAGTCTATTTTGCCCACTGTATCCAGAGTCACTGTTCTAGAACATAGATCTGCTTATGTTCAAAACCCTCTGGTAGCTTCCCGTTGCTTTTCACACAGGAAACGGGCAAAGGAGCACGGTGAGATTGAGAACTTGGAGTTCAGAGAGCAAGACGGTCTCAAGACAATGCTAGATCCCACATAGTCTTAATGCATTGCTCTTGACACAGGTTTGTCTCATAAACCTGGCCTTTACTTGAGACTGTCTTCCTGTCTGAGCTCCAGAACTTCAGTGTCACCGTTCTTCTTAGCTCTTCAGCTCCCTCTGCCTGCCATGGTCCCCAGCCCCCACCTGCACTGCATACACACTCCACCTTCAAATGTCACACCCTGTTTATAGTGACTGACTATAGTGGTCTGTTGCCTCATATGATCATTTGATGTCCATTTCCTTCCTGTAGACCAGTGGTTCTCACAATGGGGGCCTATTGTGAGCCGCTACAGCATCTCCTATCGATTTGGTAGAAATGCGAAAATCTCAGGCCCCATCCAGATCAAAATCTGAAATTCAGTCTGTGTTTTACAAGCCTTCTGGGTGTTTCTGACAAGGCTCCAGGGCAAGATCCCTGCTCTAGGCCGTAGATGGGGGTAGAGTGGGTGAACTTGGTCCAATATTGGAGTACCTGTGCCAAGGCCAGGAGTGCTCAAGGAGTATTTATTTGATGGGTGAGTGGCTATTGATCAATCACAAATCATGCTGTGCTCATCTGAATGGCATGAGGCACACCAAGTCACTGAGGATACCAGAGCAGCAGTTTCTGAGATTTCAGAACAGAGCAGGTGGACAGGAAGCTATGCCCCACCACCCTTGAGATCAAATGGCCTTCTGGCTTGCCTGACTGAGAAATGGTAGCCAGCCACCATCACAGGGGACCAGGTAAGGGGAAATCAATCTGCCCTGGAGAAACCTTGGGCCACAAAGGTCAGCTGGCCAGCTGGCCCTTTTTTCCTCACCTTGTTAGTGGAAACTGGCCACAGGAGTGGGTATCAATAGCCAATGGAAGGCAAGAAGTGTTGTTAAACAAAACTTTTAACTTCCACAGCTGAAAGTCTTTTTAAAAGAAAGGGCTTATTGGGCAATTGCTAGCAAGGAAAAAAGAACAGGTCCTGGGGCATGGAGTCTAAACCATCAACATCAGTGCCCAGTGGAAAAGGCAACACGTTCGCAGTCCTGGAGTTGGTGAGCATTTTTACACATCAGATAGTGGGGAGAAAGCTTTAAGTTGTTTTGAAAGAGTTTATATTGGTTATAAAGAGAGTGGGAGAAGGTGAAGCATGGATGGTTTTGGGATAGGTGCAGAGTCTGTAGGTGGTGGGCAAGGCTGGAAAGGTCATGTGTAAACAAGAATAGGGGGCTCCTAGGGTTCTCTGGCACCTAGCCTTTCTTTTAGATAATCACAGAAATAGCTACCTGAAAGTTAATTCAAAATTCCAACATACACTCAGGAGTGTGAACAGTCTTGTTAGCTGGCCCCCAGCTATTAGCAGCCTGTCTGTCTCTTTCTGTTCAGCACCCTGTAATTTAATTTAGAACATCTCAGAATTTTTCTCTTATGGCATGTCTAAATAAATAAATGCCCCTCCAGAACCGGTCCTTCAGCAAACATCAGGTGCCTGTTCCTTGCAAGGCAGTGTGAAGCATAGAGGTGGAACATCAACAAAAACATTACCATTCCCTCTTTTCAGAAGAGGAGAGGGGCTGGGGGTTCGGGGGTGGAGATAGAGGGGTGCAGAGAGGCTACTTAAGTGATTTGCCAAGGTCACACAGCTAGAAAGTGGCGGCTGGGAAATGACCCCAGGCGTTGTGGGTGCTGCTGCAGCACAGTTTGTCTCGCAACTAGTTTAGCAGAAGCCCTAAGGGGGCAGACCCAAATTCGAACACAGACACACAGCAATCCTAGGAACAGGGCGCCGTGCGGGGCAGGGAAAGGAGCCCGACCTCTCTGCAGGGTGGCAACGGCCTCCTAATGCGTTTGCCAGGCGCATGGGGAAGGGAA